TTTAGAATAAACCGACTTTGATCGTGATGGTTCGTACTATAGGAAGGATGGGCATCGATAAACGTGCATGGCATACGTTTTCGGCGTAAGCACAACTGGCTTTGCAAACGTTCTACGCTACAATTTAACAATTTATGTGTGGTGCTGATTTATTTGTGGGATTTAACGTCCCAAAACAACCATATGCTTATGAGAGACGACGAAGTGGATGGCTCCGTAAATACTACAACCTGGGGTTTCTTACCATGCACCCAAATCTGAGCACACGGGCCTACAACAATTCCGCCTCTATCCGAAATGCAGCCGCCGCAGCCGGTTCAATCCCGTGACCTGCGGGTCAGCAGCCTAGTACCTTAGCCAATAGACTGCCACGGCGAGTCCACAATGACATATGCTAGCATTTTGTTTAGGAATGACTCCGCACTCCTGATCGTCCAAGTTCTGACGACGGTTCGCACATGCTTTGAAACTATCGTCACGCCAAACGTGTGGTGCTTTGCAGATATGACATGGCATTACTAGCTAGCAGCTAACTTCCTTGGCAACATGTCAGGCAACCTCGACACGTACCCCGGAGTGTTGTATAAACCATGCGTGAATTATAGCTCACGCGGTACACCGTAGCTCACACACGATTACGCAAGGCATCACGAAAATCACACAGTCGATTAGCTTACACCACCAGCCTTTGCACTGCGGTAGTGAACAATTACCAGTAATATAGTTTGGGAAAGTACCTTTGTCTGATATGCGTTCATTTGACGACCAAGAGTCCATCCAGTTAAAGCGGCGCGAGTCGTATGTTTGTTCGTCCCATGTTTTCTTATGCGATCTCGCGAGTTGGCCCTTCTCCTGCCGCCATTTTAGGATTGCACGCCATACCACCAATGCGAGATCGAGCAGAGTCGCTGCCTGGCGGCAACTGGCCAAAATGGTGAAGTGTGGATTGCTCCTTGCGTCATCTGCAAGCAAGTCATGTTTCTATGTGCGCGTACGTCATGCACGTCCTCAAAGTGGTGTTTTTTTTCGGTCATATCAGCGCAAATGTAACTGTTTCTACGAATGCCTGAAACGATGAACGTAAGTATTTGATCTTGCTCGGCTAATAATGCTTGGTAATAAGACGAGTAAGTGCAACATTCCAGAGTTCTGTTATTGTAGTCGTACCCACCATTCGCAAAAAACAGTTTTAGAATGAGTCGCTTTCTGTTGCGAGCACATCGCAATATGCTCTTGGCATCCTCCGAACCATAAAGACTTTTAAATGCTGTGTGCATGCAGTGTTTATATAGCGACTTGGTTGTAAACAAAAAAGCAGGTTTTAGGCTATGCACTTGCGCGTTGTTGGTAGGTGTAAAACTGTGGCACTGTTGTTTAACTATCATGCGAGGAGCCTTACTTGGTTTATCTGGCCGTGGTGTCCCTACGTATACTATCACATAAACTGCGAGACTTCGGTACTTACACTGTACTTAAAACACAGTTACCGTGCGCAACCGTGTGCTTAGAATTAAGAAAACTTTAAAGAGCTCAGACGTTAAAGATTCATTCAGACGGCACGCTTTACATATAAGGTCACACAATTTCACTAGAAGTTTTATCTTTTTCACTTTGCTTTCAGCGTTTTTGTGGCATTGCTATTGACCGACAGAAGGAAGTGGTCGCCTTTTCTCTAAAAAGAAAAAACATTATCCAGGTCTTTCTTGTAGTACTGTCATGCACGTAATATTGTAGTACTGTTATACACGTAATGAAACCTTTCTGCTAACTTTTATATAAGGTTTTCCTCGTGCAAGAACACGTGTACGCACGTGGTGAACGAAGTGAAGCGCTAGGTGCCAGTCCACTAACCTTTCATGACTAGGCTTATCGACTGTCCCATATTTGATGGCGAACAAAATGAGAGAAAAAAAACAAGTGTATAAGGGTGAACGGTGGTACTAGAAGAATCGCGCAGACATTCAAACTTTCTTTTTCGTTTTTTTATAGTATGCAGGCGACAGAGATGTGAACAAGTAGTTCAGTCACGCTACAGCAGTGCGTAGAAGGCTGAACAGAAACTAATCACGTCAAACAACACAGCAAAGGCGTGACTAAGTGCGAAAGTATGAAGAGAGTCACCCAAGGCGAGCTTCCAATGAAAGGCAGAATACGCTTTACTCGCGGTAATGTTAATCTGCCATATGTTTCGTGCACCGATTCAGTAAACAGGAGCGTAAATATTAACAACAAACCGTCGTCAACGCATTCTCTACGGCGACAATTGGCTCAGACCGCACGCTAATAAGCGCCCCTGCGTGTATTTGTATACGCGCCATCGACCACCTATCCACACTTTCGCGGAACTGTGCTGCCATCTATAGCCCAATCTCGTCACGAATTGGCCATGGGCATGGCCAATTGCGCGCAATAAACCGATTTTATTTCGCACCCTGAGCGTCCCGAGTTTGCCACTAAGGAAGCGACTAAGGTAGCTGAGATAGCAGCGTGGAAAAACGTGAAATCCTGTCTCAACGACCCATGCTCACATCTCACGCGTTTAATAAAGAAATAAATGGCGACGAACAGATAGCACTTTCAGGAAAGGCAATGAAGACGAGAAAGAAGCTGCTGTCAAGCCTATCAACACGTGATGGTTAAGAAGTCTTTTCAGCCCCGGTAAAGCACCTGTTGCCTGAAATTGCTCATAGTTTCCTACAATTGTTACTAAAAAGTGAACTGCGCGTTGTGTAAGCTTAAAGTTATGTGGTTTCACTGTTCTGCTAACTTAAAACATACTTAGAGAAACTTAAGTCTTTATTGTTTTTAGTGACGCGCATATAACCGTATATCTAGACCGCTTCCAGAAGCATGTGCGCCTGGAAAGACATGCGCAGTCAACATTTCTGTGAGCATACTTACTTGGTGTCGGGCTTTCCGGAAATCAATGAGGCCGGGGTCCCATGCTGAGGCCATTCATTGCACATAGGATGGCTGACGCACGCCACTGTCCAAAAAGGGATGGCGGGCATGTAATTTTTGGTAGTGGGGCTTTGTGTTCACGCCAGCCCTAGCATCACTTCCAATGAAAAAATAAATTCATGTGTGAAACGGTGCCACATGTATGACGGTATGCGAAGAGAAGAGTGCCTTGCACCCTGCCCATTCAGTCTCGGCGTGCCCTCAGTGATGCCTCTAGCATACCTCGGCTAGGGCGCTGTCGTGGCCTGAGCAAGTTCGAAAGACATTTTGTCTACGAAAGAGAAGGTCTCAGGTAGGGATGGTAGATTGAACTATTCATTCGAATAATTCTTATATGATTTAACCATAATTGATTTAGCGCCCTCAATGTGATGTTTTAATTGATGGATCCGCATTTTTGCTGGGTGCTTTAAAAACACCAGGCCTGCGCGGAAGGCGCAGCACAGTCACAGCAAAATCCATAAAGCGGCCTTTCGGAGCTTTTTCAAAACACTCATTGGATGACTGCTACAAGCGAACTTGTTGGGTACCCACTACGGCATTAATAATCGTTATTTCTGGGTAGTCCCGCCGTGGTATTCTATAGTGTCTATGGTACTCTGCTGCTGACTTTCAGGTAGCCGGATCAAATCCCGGCTGTGTTGGCTGCAAGATCAATGGAGGAAAAAATGCTGTAGGCCCGTGTAGATTTGGGTGCACGTTAAAATTTGGGTGCACGTTAAAGAACCCCAGGTGCTCGAAATTCCCGGAGCCCTCCACGGAGGTGTCTTTCCTAATCATATGGTTGTTTTGGGATGTTAAACTCCACATATCAATCAATAAATCAATCACTTCTCGGTAGTAGGCTGGCATTCGCTATGCTATCCTTCACCATTCTTCTGAGAAGAGCGGTATCCACTAAGCACTCGGAAGGAATTTTGTGTGAAGTTCATGCAATGGCTGACGAGGATGGGGCAATATGGCTAAAGTGGGATTGCGCAACAGTTAAAAGATGATCAAGAACACGCTTTTGTAGTGGGTTTTGTAGTAGGAATGATTTATC